CTGTGTCAAATAAATATATAAATAGATGATAAGTAGATAGATAGATAGATAGATAGATAGATAGATAGATAGATAGATAGATTTAAAAATGGGGGATGCCTGGGTGGCTCAGTGGTTGAGCACCTGCCCCTGGCTCAGGATGTGATCCCGCTGTCTCAGGATCAAGTCCCACATCAGGCTCCTTCCCTGGAGCCTGCTTCTCCCTCTGCCTACATCTCTGCCTTTCTCTCAGTGTCTTTCATGAATTAATAAATAAAATCTCAAAATAATTAATTAATTAGTTAATTAATTAAAAATAAAAATGGTCTCGGATTCTTATGGTTATGGAAACAGTAACCCATTGGGGGTCCCTCAGCCTCCAGATGGTGGAGCCTTCTTGTTTGACTACATAAGGACATAAGGGATAATAATTTTTAGAGGTTTGGTGGAACTCTCCAATGAAACCATCTGGACCTAGAATTTTCTTTATCTTTCTTTTTTTTTTTTTTAAGATTTTATTTTTAAATAATCTCTACACCCAACATGGGGCTCAGACTCACAACCTGAAGATGAAGAGTTGCATGCTTTCCAACAGAGCCAGCCTTGCGCAGGCACCCCTTGGAATAATAACTTTTTTAAAAAAAGATTCATTTATTGATTTGAGAGAGAGAAAGAGAGAGCACACGCGTACGTGCACGTGGGCACAAGTACGGGGAGGGAGAGAGGGAAAGACTCTTCAAGAAGACTCCTGCTGAGTTCAGAGCCTGGCAGGGCTCCATCCCACAACCCATGAGATCATGACCTAAGCTGAAACCAAGAGGGGGACGTTTAATTGACTGAGCCACCCAGGCATCCCTGCAATAGTAACTTTAAAAAAAAAAAGTAACATTTATTATTACGAGCCAAACACTATTAGAGGCACCATCCGTGTATATTATCCCATTCATGTCTCACAATTGCCCTGAGGGTCAGTTCTGTTGCTCCTCTTTACAGTCAAGGAAATGGAAGCTCAGAGAGGTTGGGTAACTTGCCCAAGGACACATGTCTAGCAAGGAATGGAACCAGGAGCCAAACTCAAGTGGTTTGGTTCCAGAGTCCTGCCCTCAGCCACACAGCCAGGTAGCAGAGACAGGTTTCAGGATCCTGCCTAGAGCCAAGGACCAGGTTTCTTATTGGTTCTTAGTAATGAGCATACATGGCTCTCCATCCACTGGGTTTCAGCCACTCTTTTCCGCTCAGTCCTCCCTCTTTCCTACCATGGCCCTCCAGCCTCACAACTGCCTTTTTTCTCTTGTGCTCCTTTGGCTTCTGCTGCCTCTACTTGCCACTGCTCAGCCCTCCCAATGCCTCCAAGTCAGATTCCTCAACACAGAGGATCTGATGGGCTTCTGTTAGGCAAAGTTCTCCTGCATGTCAGGCCTACTCCAGATGCTGCTGGCTAACCCCTTGATGGGCTGCTCCTGGCTCATGGGCCATCCTGGTCCACTAGGATATGGACAAGAAGTTAGGGACACCTGATGTTCCTCAGAAGGGCCTGAAAGTCTGGCTGGCCCTCTGAGCCTAAGAAACTTCTAAAATAACTCAAGAAGGATTTAAATGCAGGTATTAGAAGAATGTCGCAGACATGGGTGCTTTTGCCTTCCTCTCTCAGTTTGGGCTGCCATAACAAAATACCATAGACTGGAGGCCTTAAACGACAGACATTTATTTTCTCACAGTCTTAGAGGCTGGGAAGTCCATGATAAAGTTGCCAGCCGATTCTGTTTCTGGTGAGAGCTCTTTTCCTGGCTTACAGACAGCAGCCCTCTTGCTGTATTTTCACATGGCAGACAGGGAAAAAAAAGAACTCTCTGGTGCTCTTATAAGGGCACAAATGCCATGGGCAGTAATCCCTCATGACCTCACCTGACCCTCATTACCTCTCTAAGGCCCCATCTCCAAATAACAAAAACACTGGCGGTTAGAGCTTCAACGTATGAATTTGTGGACAAAACAAACATTCAGGCCATAACACTATCTAATATTCATTCATTCCCCTTTCTGAGACCTGCACCCTGATTTTCCTTTTGGGAATCAGCCCTCCCCCATTCAGTTCCTGTGGTTCTGGAGAGCTACCCACATGCGGCTATGTGGGTAGGTGGAAATTGGCCTGCTCAATAAAAATATCTAACCCCTGGATATAATGGTTGTTTAAAAGATAGAGCCATGACCCATATTTGGATTAGAGGGCCTGCTATGGACTGAATTATGTCCTCCCCCCCAAATTCATATGTTGAAACCCTAGCCCCCAATGTGACTATATTTGGAGATGGGGCCTTACAGGATTATTAAGGGTAAATGAGATCATAAGGGTGGGGCCCTTATCCCGTAGGACTGGTATCCTTGTAAGAAAAAGAAGAGACATCAGATCTTTCCCCCACCGCAACTCTCTCTCTCTCTCACCCCCGTCTCCATACACAGAGGGGTGAGGACATATGAGGACACAGTGAGCAGGTGGCTGTCTACAGTCCAGGAGGAGAGGCCTCACCAGAGGTCAGTCCTGCTGGCACCTTGATCTTGAGCTTCCAGCCTCCAGAACCATAAGAAAATAAGTCCTGACCGTGCCTGATGTGAGCACCTGGATCCACCTGTGCCCGAGATAGGTTTCAGGTCTTCGTACTGCAGTTACACAAGCCAAGGAATTCTTTTTGCTTGAGTTTAGTTTCTGTCATTTGCACCCAAAAGCACTGTGACTAATAGAGTCAGCTCTCGTCCTTTCATTATATCTGACCAGAGATATCATCATAATTACGTTGGTGTAAATGAGGTGTAGTCAGACAGTGATACTCTAACGGAAACCCTGGAACCTATACTCTCTCAGGGTAGGTGAACAAAGGAAAACTGGGAAATTCGTGAATTCTCACCAGTTATTTGAAGACCACGCATCTGTTTGGCTTTCTCTTAGAGTGTGAGATCTTTAAAGGGGGTTATGAAGTCCTTTGCCTAAACCTCTCACTCCTCCAAGGGGCAGCCCTTCACACCAAAAAGGCATCACACCAGTGTAGAAATCTCAGTGTGCATGGCAGCAGGTCTGATCTGTGGAGCCTTTTCTTGCACACCAGGCCAGCACCCGGCCCTTGTACAGCCCAGCGTCTTGCTCAAGCTGTTAAGTGAACATGATGAAGTGATTAACATAGAGTGGCCACTAGCAGGGATTATTTCCTGGTGGGGCTGGACGGCCACATTGGCCAAAGCAGTCAAGGAAATTCAGCAAAGTCTCAGCTCCAGTGGATTCAGGAAATGACTGCGGTTCTCAAACTTCAGCATGCATCGGAATCGTGGGAGGTGAGGGGACAGCTTGTCAAAACAGAGATTGCTGAGCCTCACCCCAAGAGTTTCTGATTCAGCAGTTCTGGGTGTGGCCCCAAAATTTATAGTTCTCGCAAGATCCCAGGGGACGCTGGTGCTGCTGGTCTAGGGACCATACATTGAAAAATCACCGATTTGGAAGATTGCTGGAGAATTGGATCAAGGCCTCTTGGAGGAGGAGAAATTATCCAGTGCTTGGCTTTTGTGTTTCCCTGAAACCTTCACTCCAACCATGACCCCCTCTATCATCTCCGTTGTGGATTCCAAAGCCCTGAAAAAGGACTGGAGTGAAAAATGTAAATCTACAGAAAAAAAAAAATGATATGCAACATCAACTTCAGGCCTGTGGGCATTGAGGCATGTCAAAATAGAGTGGGTGAATATCTCCACATTCTAGAATTATCAAGACTTTGCCGCATTGATGATGGTCTTCTAATAGGATGGATCAGGCATTATACTTCTGAGATGCAGATTTCTGGGGTCGTTTACAAACGAAGTTAGAAGTTCAGCCACAGGAACAGTCTGCTCAAAGGGAACACCGACAACATTAATTACATTGTGGTAGCTCCGTTTGGGCCTGTCTTTGTTCAAAAAACAACCCAGAGGGTGCCTGGTGGCTCAGTCTGTTGGGTGATCAACTCTTGATTTTGGCTCAGGTCATGATCTCAGGGTTGCAAGATCCAGCCGCGTGCTGCACTCTGTGCTCAGCATGGAGGCTGCTTGTCTCTCTCTGTATACAGTATGTCACTTGCATAACTGCTTCACAGCATCTAATGGAAGTAACCGTAACTCACCTTGTGCCCCGGTAAATCCACTCGTAGGTATTTACTCCAGAGAAACAAGAGCTTGAGTCCACCGAAACAAACCTTACCAGAATGTTCACCACGGCTTTATTAGGTACAACAGGAAGGTCTGAAATGCAGGATTGAGTGCAAGAAGCCAAATGAGAGTATTTAGTACGATTTCAAGTACAACAAGTCCACAACCAGGCAAAAACGAATCTACAGTGACAAAAAAAAGCAGAATATTGTGGATGCCTGAGGCTTGGGACCACTCCGGGGGTGCGACGAAGGGAAGCAGATCGGGAAGGAGCGCGAGGGATCCTTTGGAGGGTGCTGGCACGTTCTGCCGGGCTGCCGGTGGTCACACAGGTGTACACGCAGGGAGATTAATGGAGCTGAACCCGGAGGGCTCGGGCATCCCAGCGCGTGCTAAGTCACACTTCAGTCAAGCGGTCTTCGCACGCAGCCGCAGCCGCGCCCACGCGAAACCCCAGGAGGCTCAGGCCCCGCGGCGGCCCGGCCGCCCGCTTCCGAGGGCCCCGGGGCCCGGCCGCCCGGCGGCTGCCTCCCGGGCGACTTCCGCCCAAGGCGGGGGCGGGGAGGCCGCCCCCCCGCCCCCCCCGGCCCCCCGCCCCCCGGGACGGCGCCGGGCAGCCCCTCCCGGCCGGGCCCCGCCGCCTGGGACCGCGGCCCCGCCGCCCGGGGTCCCCCGCGCGGGTCCCGGACGCGTGCGCCCCGCCCCCAGCAGCGCCCCGCGGCCGCGCGCCCCCGCCCCGCCCCAGCAGCGCCCCCGCCCCGCCCCCTCGGCCCCCCGCCCCGCCCCCCCGGCCCCGCCCCTCCCCGGCCCCGCCCCCGCCCCCTCCCCGGCCCCGCCCCGCTTATCTGGCCGGTCGGCCCCGGCCGGGGGGCAGGCGGCGGGCGGGCAGGGGCCGCGCGATGTCGCACGGAGCCGGGCTCGTCCGCACCACGTGCAGCAGCAGCGGCGGCGGCGGCGGCGGCGCGGGGCAGCCGGGCGCGAGGGCCTCGGAGGGGCCGCTGGACCCCGTCTACCCCCGCACCTACTCGGCCCTGCTCAAAGTGGCGCAGATGGTAAGAGGCCGGGGGCGCGGCCGGGGTCCGGCGGAGGGGCCGGCGGGGCACCCGGGCGGCGCGCTGCGGGCGGGCGGCGGGCGGCGGGCGGCGCCAGGTCCGAGGAGGACCTTCCTTCGCAAAGTTGGCGGCGCCGCCCGGCCCGGAGCTCAGCCCCGGCGCCGCCCTGGCTCCCGCGGACGCGGCTCTCCGGGCCCCAAGTTTCTCCAGCCGCCGCTCCGCCGGCCCGACCCGCTTCCCGACCGAAGCCACGGGCACAGGTTGCTCTTCTCCTTCCTTCCTCTTCTCGGGGCCGCGCGGCCCCGAACCCAGCCCCGGCCCCTCCAGGCCTGCGCTTCCCTCCCACCCCGGCGGGCAGGGCTGCCTGGAGAGGGCAGGGGTCCCAAGCCCTCAGCCCCTGGTGGGACCCTCTGGGGACGCCTGCTGGCTCGGCGGTGGAGCGTCTGCCTCCAGCTCAGGTCCTGGGATCGAGTCCCGCATCCGGCTCCCCCGGGGCGCCTGCTCCTGCCTGTGCCTTTGTCTCGGCCCCTCTCTCTCTCTCTCTCTCTCTCTCTCTCTCTCCCGCTCTCGCTCTCTCTCTCATGAGTAAATAAAAAGAATCTTTAGAAAAGAAGAAGGAACTGGGACCCTGGGGGCAGAGGTCCTGGAGCCCCGGCCTCTCCAGTTCAAGGGAGGGTCCGGGTCTCAGGGGACTGCTGGGCGGCGGCGGACTGCTGGGGAAGGTTTCGTTTTGAGGAGCCTGTGCACTCATCCCCCTGCTAACCGTAGGGAGCATCCAACCCTGCATTTACGTTTTTCCTGTATATACATTCCTACGATAAAGTTTGATTTACCAGTGAAGCATAGTAGCAGGTTAACCACAATGACTGATAACAAAATAGAGTGACTCTAACGATATACTGTAATAAAAAGTCTATGGCTGTGGTCTCTCTCTCTCTCTCTCTCTGAGTACCTTATTGTACTCACGCTTCTCCTGATGATGTGAGATGATAGAATGCCTGCCCCATGAGCTAAAGCGAGGTGAATGATGCAGGCATTGTGACATAGCATTAGGCTGCTATTGATCTTCTGACTAATCAGCAGAGCGGAGGGTCATCTGCTTCTGGACCATGGTTGACCCTGGGTAACAGCAAAACTGTGGTTGGGTCGGGGAGTACTACTGTACTCCTTTGGGGGAGCCCGAGTCACCTGAGTGAGGAGTCACTTGTGCAGCCAGGCAGGCGGAAGGGCTGAGCTCTGAGTGTAACCAGGGCCTGTTTTCATGTTCTTCACTCCTTTTTCCCCCCTTCTTTAAACAAATTTTTATCTTAAATGCCTTTCCTATTTGTTTGATGTGTTTTGTGAAACTAGGTTGGGCTGTTTGTGACTCTGCTCATTGTAATGCTTGCAGCAAGAATGGTGGAGGGGGAAGTGGTAGTTTTGAAGAGGGGACATAGGAACAAGGTGGCATAGCCAGAAGCTGGTGTCTGCTCAGGTGGGCCAGTCCCAGGGGTGCCAGACACAGTGAGAGCTGCCTGTGAATCCATAGCACTTTTTTTTTCTGGTGTGTGTAGAGGGGGCTGTCATTTCCTGCGTGGGCCAGATCTGAAGGGAGGGGGACTGAGTTCCCTTTTCTCTAAGAAGGGTATCTAGATGGACCAAAAATTAAGAAGTGTTGGCTAACACTACTTACAACAACAGACTGCGCTGAGGAGGGTTAGTGTGTGGAGAAGAGAAAGCTCCATTTCATGTAATCTCCTCTAGCCTCTCGCCTGCGGCCCTTAGAATGGGTTGCAGGTGACAGTCACAAGGCCTGTTGTTCCATAGAAGGGAACAAAGACCGGGAGAGCGGCTTCTCTGTCATCCGCCTCTTAAAACGATCCTCACAGGAATCTTAGGGCTTCTTCCTTCCCTAGAGAGTCTGTGATTGCAGGCTGGTTTGAGCAGACCCCTTGAAAGTGAACTTGCCATTGTGGGGTGGTCCTATTGAGAGACTATCTAGGGTTGTACACTTGAGCCTCTTGTCTAACTCCTCCCCATTCTCCTCCCCTTCCTCTTTTCCGGGGTGTTTGCAGGGACATTTGATGTTCCCTCGTCTTCTCTGCGGAAAACGTGTGCATCACCAAGAGTTAATACTTTTGGGGAAAGGCAGATGCAGCTAGAGTGGTGCCACCAGTGGGCACTCAATCCATTGATGTCCAGTTTTGACCACTGATATCTCCTTTGCATCCTAAATAGACAGACCCGTATGTCCTAGACTTCCCATAAATGTGCTTTCCTTGTGGTCCAAACAACAGACCTATCAACATATTACCTAATGAAATCGTTGAAAAAGCTGTTCCCCTTGAGAACAACTTCCTTTCTTTGCTTTGAGTCTCTCCTGGGCCACTGTGACCAGAAAATGAGGAGAGATAGCAGGAAGAAACTAAGTTTCTCGGTGAATGTCGGTACTTGACATGTCACTTGAATGAGTCTTTATAATCTTGTGGCCTTGGTAGTTTAGTTTCTTCGGTCTTCCTCTTTAGCCTGGAGACTGTCACATGTTGGCCCTACACAACTGGGTTTCTTTGTTGTTATGAGCTATATTTTTTGAACCCTATCATGGATCTTACTAACGCACTAGGGATTCCATACCATATGCCACGGGTGTGTCATTAACTCTTTTTAAGGACCCAGTGAAGTAACAGGTTTTGACAAAGAAGAAACTGATAGAAAGGTTGGACTAGTAAAGTCACACAGCTGACAGCAGCAGAGGCCTGACTGGCTGCATGTCCTCAAAGACCCTGCAGAGTTTTAGTTGTTCATAGATCTGGGGAAATCAGGCCACAGTGAGATACCACTTTAGCCCTGGTAGGATGACAGCAATAGGAAGGACATGATATCAATATGGAGGAGCGATAGGGAGGATGTGAAGAAATCAGAGCCCTCATACATTGCCAGTTGGCTTGTGGGAGTGTAAAATGGTGCACATCCTTTGCCAAATAGTCTGGCAGTTCCCCAAATAATTAAACATGGAATTGCTATATAATCCAGCAGTTCTAGGTATATACATAAGCGAAGTGAAAACACATGTCCACATAAAAACTTGTACACAGAGGTTCATGGCAGCATTATTCACAAGAGCCAAGATGTGGAAACAACTCAAATGTCCATAAACTGATGAATGGGTAAATAAGATGTGGTATATTCATACGATGGACTGTTCGTCAACAGAAAAAGGAATGAGATATTGACACAGGCTACAACATGGATGATCCACTGATGCGAAGTGGAAGAAGCCAGATGCACAAGACTACATATTCTATGATTCCCCTTAACATGGGATGTCCAGAACAGGCCAATTTATAGAGACAGGAAGTAGATTAATGGTTGCTTAGGGTGGGGAGTTTGGGAGCAGTGGGGAGTGGCTGCCAATAGGTAGGTGTTTCTTTTTGGCTGATGAAAATGTTCTTTTTTTTTTTTTTTTTTAAGATTTTAACCAGCTGAGCCACCCAGGTGTCCCGGACGATGAAAGTGTTCTAGAATGGGTTGTGGTGATAGTTGTACAACCGTGTGAATATATTAAAAACCATTGAATTGTATACTTTAAATGTGTGAATTGTATCTCAGTAAAGTGGCTAAAGGAAAGATCTAAGTAGATCTAGAGAAGAGTTTGGAGAGGGTTACTGTGCATGAAGCCCCTGGGTATGGGAGAACCACAACTATAGGAAGCTCCCTCGCTACCCCCTGCCCCAATATCCACTGCAAGGGGAAGGAATGTCCCCCTGTGGACCTCACAGGATCTGAGCTGAAGGGCCTGAGGAGGGTGCCTTGAGGTCTGAAGGGGTCCATGTGGCCCTGTGTGTGACCTCGCCGGCATCCCTCATCAGTTTATTTGTTGAGCAGACATGTCTGAGTGCTGCATTCATCTTCATTTCTATGGGAGCAGGGCGGGGGGGAGGGGGGGTGGGCTGTGGGGCTGTGACAAAGTCCTTGTCCTCAGGAAGTCTGGTTTCACTGAGGAGACATACAAGTCCAAGAATTGATGGGTCGACTGGATAAAAAGTCGGGTTGCCTATACCAGGAAGGAAGGAGGGAGGTGTGAAGGCCAAGGTCACATTTGAATTGAACCTTGGGAGCTGAGTATGGGTTTGTGAGGTCAGGAGTACTCTCTTAGCCTCTCTCTATTGCCTTCATTCAGTATGTTTAAGTTGGGGATAAGGGACATGGGGTGTTAGAGTGGAAGAAAATACAGCAGGACATGAGCCAGTGCTTGGGCAGTACTGACATCTAGGAAGAGGTGTCATCTCATTTAATGAACGTCTGCTATGTTCTTATGTGAGGTGTGTGGAATACAGGGGTTAACAAGATAGATCCTTTTTTTTTTTTAAGATTTTATTTATTTATTCATGAGAGGCACACACAGAGAGGCAGAGACAGAGGCAGCAGGAGAAGCAGGCTCCTTGAGGGGAGCCCAATGCAGGACTCGGGACCCCGGGATCACGCCCTGAGCCGAAGGCCAATGCTCAACCACTGAGCTGCCCAGGTGCCCCAAGAGAGACCCTGTCTGTATGGACAGAGAAACAGGGACTGTGATATTTGTAGAACCATATGGAAGGAAAATTATAGTTTCATAAGTAGCAAAGATGGAAACTTAAATGTCTTCCAGAAGTTTCATTTATTTACTCAGCAACTATTTGAGCACCTGTTGTGTGCTAGAATACTGTGGAAAGAAGAGTAAATAAAAGACAGATCAGCCCCTGTACTCCTTAGACTCAAATAGGGAAAATAAACATGAGTAAAATGATTATAAATATGTAACTTAGTAAACTCAGGACAAAAGCTCTCAAAAAGTGGTACTCAGTATCATAGAGAATGATTTAGGGAGTCTGACCATCTGGGACATAAGGAAGGGCTTCTCTAAGGAAGGGATATTTGAAGGATGAGGGAACAGCATTACCAGGAGAAAGAAAAGCACAGGCAATGACTCTGAGTCTAGAAGGAGTATTGCTGTGGTGGAAGAGAAGGGAGTAAGGGTGGGC